CCAGACAGCGTGTGACTCAGGGATCAAGGCCATTACTACCAAACACTTAGTCAGGGAGTAAAGTTCAGCTTATCACAGGAAATCACAGACACGCACACACACAAAGGCGCACACAGACAAGCACGAACGTACTCAAGGAAACGCACACATAGAAGCGCAGTCAGTCATACATGACCCTTTAATACATAAATTGAATGCCCATGAGCAGTTTGGTCTCGGGTGAGAGCCAGACATGTTTTACATTTTTCTTTTTTTTTTCCCCAGAAGGTTTAATGGTGTAATTACATTTGCACTTATTTAAAACTGTCTCACTCACGATGAACAGGTAAAAAAAAAATCCAGATCAAAATCCATGCATCAGGTCCAGATATTTAGCTGAAGCCTCAGCACAATACAATGCAATAGCGCTGCACCAAATTCTACTTTTATAACCCTTCCTCATTTTCATTTTTTTTTTATAGTTGATTGCTCTGCTATATAACTGAGTGGATGGTCATGGCGTTCTGATAAATTGCATCACTACATTTATAAAAATGCTAATTTTCTTTTGTCCTTTTGTGTGCGTATGTGCTGAAAGTATGTAGAAGAGCTGTTGCACTAGCCAGTATTAGATTTCACACTTGTATTTTGATGTTAATGTAACATCAGTCTGCTCTCCCAGCCTGGCTAGCTCATTCTTTCTAACTCCACCTCAGATTTGTTCCATTTTCAAGCTTGTTGTCTTCAGATCCAAGTGCTTTGAGGCAATTTATAAAACTTCACACGGCTCCCCCTGGAACCACAAAAGGCTTTATACTACTTTTTTTTTGTTTTTTACACTTGTAGTACTCCTCCCCAAGACATTTAATAAGATTTTGATGTTTAAAATCAGTGGAATCCTTTCTCTTTCACACAGGTATCTTAACAGATATGCTTCTCGTGTCCGCGTGTTTACGTCTCGCGCATTATGTTCTGTCATAACCGCTGATCTATCTCTGACTGCACTTAAAGTGATATTAACACATTCTAATCACCCAAATCAAGTTCATCATTCATCTCAGACGGCCTATATCAGCTCTAGTGGCTTGACATGTTACAAAATATCCATCCTGTTTTCTCAATGTCTAGCTTTGAGAGAGAATTACTCATGTCCAAAACACTAATTTAACAGTCACAAGTCATTAGAATAGCACACGTAAATTATTAAATTGAGTGGTTTTGCACTCTGAGGCAGAACTTCAAGATGTAAGTGATTCATACTCTAATTGGAGTGGATGTGTGCTTTTGCTCAGTAGCCAGTTTGTACGATTGGGAATGGGGATGCTGGCAATCAGGATGTAGAAAATGTATGTGTGTGTGTGTGTGTCTGTTAGTGTGTGTATGTGTGTGTCAGTGTTAACAAGAGAGACAAATAGGAACAGAGAGAGAAGCAGGTGCATCACTAATGGCTTTTTAAAAAGGTTACAGCGTAGCGCTCTTCTTTTCTAATGGGGCTCTGGCTGTGCTTGAGAAGCAATTTCCGGAAAAGATAATGTTGTCGAGAGAGTGCAGAGAGTTCTCTGTTTGCGTGTGTGTGCGTGCGTGCGTGCGTGCATGTGTGTATTTGTGTTGTTATTAACAAGACTGACAAACACAAACTCAAAGGAACACAAAGAGGGGCGGGAAGAGATTGGGGCAATTGAGAGAGAAAAGAGAGGGAGAGAAATTGCCTTTGTCTTTATTGCAAAGTAATTGTGCCATATTGCATTGCATTTATTAGTTGATGAATAATGCCTGCTCCCGGGCCAGCAGAGGTCTCAAGCCAAAGTAAATAAATAAATAAAATTTTCTCTTTTAGCATATTTTTACATTCATAATGTGGGGTTTGATTTCATAAACATTAAAGCTGGTGAGTCCTGAAAGCCCCTCTCTTGCGCTTCCCTTTCCCAGTAACCATGGTAAACAGCGCCACCCTGTGTCCACAGTTATCTGCTTCAACGTTTTGAGCCACGTTTCTGCAGATTCATGAGGAATAAAGCTGCAATCCCGATATGCTGCAGATGTTAATAGTATATTGATAAAGACAGATTTAGACAAATGTACTTCCAAGTGCTCGTTAGATAATTAAATGCAAGTGCATATGTAAATACATTTCATGTGTTGATTAGTACATCTTAAACAAGAAGTTCAATTAAGACCACTAAGGGGCAGTACTTTCCCATTACTGCCTGCATGCTTTACAACAAACCCCGTAGTGTTTACACTGTGAAATTGACAAAATTAGTAACAGTCGACTTTTCAGAATGTGATGTTGATGAGAATTTTATTATTTTATATTTATTTATTATTTTCCTAAAAAGGAAATGAGTGAAGCACTCACAGATGCAGACTAATTGTGGTTGCATCTCCAGGAACACTTCACATAAGAGAAACCCTTTTTGTGAAGCGTAGTGAGAATCTAAGATCACAGTTTGAGTCAAGCCCTCCCTGATTTCTAATATAAAGTCTTTTTGTGTCGAAATAGCAAAACGGTGTGCTGTACAGTACACTGAGTACTTGTAGTATGTATTGTGCAGATGTGTGAAACTGGATCATGACTCCAGAACCTGAGCACAGACAGATCTTTCCCACAGATCATCGCATGTCATGACATACAGCAGCAGGAAAAATGAAAATTAAATTCCATCTAGTGGCGTGCTGGGTCACAGTCACACTGTCCCGGCTAGAATTCTTGTAATCAGTCACGCCGGTGTTTCATTTAAAATGTCTAACACCAATCGGCTGCAATGTTAAAATCACCAGCCTTATATTCTGTCCGTCTAGTTCTGACTCTAGACACCTCTAGCAGTGCCCTGTGGTTGGATAACCACTGTGGATCTGGTTCATTTCAGTCAGAGACATTATAATAGAGAGACATGGCACTCATATTCAAATCTATGGCACAATTACACAATGACAAAAATGGTGATATTAGTTTAATTTCCAGGGGGAAAAAAGAAGTTTTTAGAAATTCTTTCAGGGGCAAAGTCAGCACACCACTGCAGCTGTTTTTATTGAATTTGTCCCATGATGGGTTGAGATGATTTGGGCATGTAAAGAGGAGGGATAGTAGATTCATTTATTTCAGCCTGTACTACTTGATTATTCCAGCATCGCCCATCATAACATACACTGGCATCAAAAGACTTTCCTTGTAGACCTTCACTGGCTTAAAATAGTTTAAAAAATATTATTGCTGGTTTTTAAATCCCTGAACAGTCAGTTTGTGTATGCGCTCTGCATCCACAAACTGCTGACGCCATATAATCTTGACTGAGATCTTCCAACATGACCTTTATAAGTAATGCCAAAGACTCGTCAGGTCACTAAAGGTGATCAAGCCCGATTCAATCTCAGCAGCACGACTGTGTAATTCCCTGCACGAAGAACTCTGTGAGATAAGTGTGATTTATTTGTATTGTTTTGCTTCTTTAAACCATGTGTACTTGTTTTCGCTTGTTTCCACTGAATTTGAAATTGCTTTAAGTTCCAGTGAAGATATTTTTGCATTTTTCAAATTTGTACATTCGTATTCTTTAGCACTTTGTATCTTTACTTTGTTCTCTAAAAATCCAAAAAAGTCAAAGCAAAATAAAGGGTGCTGTCAGGAAAAGAGGAAGACCACAGAGACGCTTCATGGATGTAGTGAAGATTGATTTTTCTGGTCACTGTTGTCAAGATTAACAGAAACCATTTGTCCATTTTCTTCAGCTATCTAATTCAGGGTCACAGGGAGGCTAAAATAGGGCAAGTAAAGGGTACACCTGGGACAGGTGTTTCAGCGCTAACACAGAGAGAGACCTATGGCTGGTTTAGTATGGCTAATAAACCTAACCCTGTGCATGTCATTAGACTGTGGGTGGAATTACACAGAAAAGCCTGTGGATTTGAACCCAGGACTCAGGGGTGGCTGTAGCTGGGGGTAGTTGGGTTTGACTAGAATGGGTCATCTACTAATTGATGGTTGGTTGGGGGTTTGATCCAGACTGCATGCAGAATTCTTGTAATGGGGCAAGATACTAACCCCAAGTCGCTCTTTGACACAGAGTATGAATGTATGTTAATGTTATATAAAAAGAACTAAAGCATAGTGAATATTTGTGTGAATGGCAAGTTATATAAAGTGCTTTTAGTGCTCAGGCAGAGTAGAAAAGTGCTATATAAGAACCGGTCCATTTACCATTCTTGCTAGCTGCTCAACTGAAGCAAATAGTCCAAAAACCGTCATTTGCATGTGCAGCATGCACCACTACTGAATGTCCGGTATTTCAAATAAGACCATGTAACAAAAAAAGAGTAAAACATAAAATCTATATCCTCATTAACGGTAGCAAGGACTTCAACTAAATCACACACACTCTTCATTTACACAAAGTGAAAATTAGAAAATGTAATTCACCAAGCAGTGTGTTATAATTGTAATTTATTTTGGTAAATAAATACAAAACAGTGACATTTCAACATGAAAATAACATTATTTAGACAGTTATGGTATTCTCTATCTCTTCAGTTATTTACAAAAAAAATTCCGACTGAAAAGTTTCACCGTAGGTAATCACAGAGCTATAATGAGCACCTGCTATAACAGGCATTGTTAAGAAGCCTTGGCAGGGGTCCTTTGAAGGCCTGCAGTTACACACATGCGCAAGTGTGTAATTATAGCAGCTACTTTTGACAGTTTAACTTAAGAAAACAGATTGCCAAATTAACAGTTATGCTGCCATACAATGTGCTCATTATAAACATACAAACAAATATGCACACGCACGCACACACACACACACGCTTAATAAAACCTTAACAACGTCTTCTTTATGTAACCCAGTGTGTAGAGTAGTATACCCTCCCTGGAGTGTCCTTTTGAACTGAGCAGAAGCAAGCAAGTTGTGAGCCAAACACCCCAATTTTATGCTTTTAGATTTCACACACTTCTCCACTGCGCTACATTCCTGCTTTAGATCAGGCTACTACTCATGTTCGTACAAGACAGCTTCAGGTAGCTTCACATTTTTCACACAATAAAACATAATGCGGTATATACTGTGTAAAAAAAAAAAAAACTATATTCTGTACAAAACTATACACAGCTCAGAGGGCTTACCTCTGTCTTACACACTGGTCTGTGCCATCACTGTTAGAGAATCGGTGAGAGGAAACACTGATGGAGCTAGGAACAACTAGACAGGACAGATGCATGAACTGCAGCAAACTGATGTCATAACCACTCTTATTACAGACTAGTTTTGGAAACACCAGCTGATATAAATGTAGGAAACATCATACAGGTGTCCAGTATTTAGATAAATGTACTCTGGAATAAAAGACGATGCATGGAAGTGTTAAAAAAAGGGGACGAGGGAAACAGACAAAAGGGATTTTGTTTTTACAGACTTTCACATTGGAACAGGCAGTATGTCAAATCACAGAGCTCTCCATAATGTTTCACAGGATGGAGATTAATCCTACAGTACATTTAGAACACACACCTGAATAGAAAGGAATAAGGATATTTGGAAAGTTGGTGAAAATCAAATGCTGTTCACTTCGAGGATGAATTAAGTGATGCCACAAAACACGTGGCATCACGAGCACAGCTGTGGTGTGTATAAATCTCTCTTCTATCACGTCACACAATATAAAATAAAAGAAAATAGGATACAACACAGTTTCGTGAACACTGAGTCGGTTCATCTGTGCTATAATTTACAAAAGTGCTTTCTCTTTGACAGCATCTCTTATTGACTTTGAGGATAAAAGAAAATGTTAATACTCTCGATGGTACCTGTATTCTTATTATAAAGGTCTTTGTTCTTATTCCTGTCCTCTGCTTGTTTCTATTTAATCATCCTGAGTGTTACAAAATGGTCTTGAGGGCAATTCACTTGTGCCCGGGATTTTCTTCGATCCCCAAACCCTCAGCGCTGCTGAGTTGTTTTTTTAATTGTTTTTGTTGTTGTTGTTGTTTTTAAAATATCAAGTCATCACCAGCCAACAGTCTTTATAGTCTTTGTGGAAAAACTGGACAAGAAAGCAGGAAACAGTATTGCTTTAACAGCTCTGGCTTTGGCGAGTCATGAAATGGGTCTTTTTCACCCAAAGGAGAAGGTAGGCCACCGTGGATGACAAACAGGACAGTGCAAGGTAAGGAGGGCAGGTCTCTGTCTCCGTCTGGTCCTTAGCAGATGGCGAATTTTGGCCAGGCTCGCCGTGTGTGATTTTTGCTGGTTTGTCTCATGTGACGGGTGGACCTTCAGACCTGGGTGGATTTGACTCGCCTGAGAGGCTTTCGTCCTTCAGGGTGGGCGTGGCAGGGCGGGGGGCACTCAGTGGGCAGGTCTAGACTGCGCTGGTGAGGCAACGTCGTGAGGGGAGGAGCACATCGGGAGGGGCGGGGGACGGGATTGGCTGATGGTCATGTGATCTCAGAATACGGTAGCCCTGGAGCCTAATGGGAGGACACAGGAAAGGGAGGGGAAGACGAGAGAGAAAGTTCATATCAGAACACATTGTAAAATATTTGGGAAGTTAAATTATAGAGAAAAGGGCAAATGAACTTGACTAGACTGAGATAATAACAGTAAAAAAAAATGCCCAGTGATGATGTCTAGACAAGGGAATGGGTACACAAAGCTGGGATATCAGACAGCGATCAGAGCATCTGGTACACATTAAGACATAATGAGTCCAACAAGACAGGAGGATCATTCCATAAAAGATCCATAAAATCTGACCCCTCAAATCATCTGACTTTTTTTTTTAGTATATAAAAACAAAGCCTTACAAAGTTGCTCCTTCATACTGATGTATGAAAAGTTTCTCTAATAGGTTGTCTTGTTGCACATATGCTCTATGAAAATATCAATTCCACAGGTCTCTGGGTGCGTGTTGTTTTGTCACTATGGTTTTTGTATATTCACGTCAAATTGCAATCCAACCTAGATCCATGTACACATGGTCACGCTGACGTCCTGAAGTATAGTCAGACTGCTTCGAGGTAATAGAAAGTAAAGAGTAACTTAAATAACCATTAATCACATCCAAGCTATGCAGAAGAGCATATCTGAACACATGTTAAACCTCAAAGCAGATCAGCCACAGCAGTAGAAGATCACCTGGTGTGCAACTCCTATAAATTGCACAGGAAACAGAAGATTGGAAAAATGCTGCCCGGTCTGATCAGTTTTGATTCCTGCTGCGACATTCAGACGGAATCAGAATAATATATCAACAACATGAAATCTTGCCTTTGATCAACAGTTCAGTCTGCTGGTGTAATGGTTTGGGGAGTATCTAAGTGAGTCTTTGGCTCCCTTAGAACCAATTGAGCATTGTTTCACTACCACAGCCTGCCTGAGTATTGTTGCCGACCACGTCTATTCCTTTGTGAGCCGAGCAGCTATGTTCTGATGGGTTGAACATGACAATGACATCACCGTACTCCAATGGTCTCCATAGTTACCAAATCTCAATCCAATAAAGCACCTTAGGGATGCGGGGAATGGGAGACTCAGGATGTGGATGTGCAGCCAAGTAAAAATCTGCAGTAACTGTGTTTCCAGCACCTTGTTGAATCTATGCGATGAAGAATTAAGGCATTTCTGAAGGAAATGGATGTTCAATTTAAAAAAAATGGTTACTTGTTAGTAATGATTAGTAAAGGATTTCAACACAAAGGAATCAGAGCTGGAAAATGAACCTGGTATCAAAACAAAAGACCTTTTATATTCTACTTGTTGTGACCAGCCATCTCGATCACTTGTGGATATGACCCTTAAAAGTAAATGCTTTTTTTCTGTTCTTCTACATTACAGACTACATCCCATGATATTGATGCTCAAAGCTGGTTATAGAAATAAGAGAAAACATACATAACAATAGATAAGATCTGGGTTTAGACTGTAGCACTCAAAGTGGGTGTAAAATTGATCTGAAGCTCAAAAAAATATCACAAACGCTGAAAATATGTAATATGATGGCATGTAATATGTCAAGTTTTTTTTTTCTATAACGCTAAAAATGTATATAGTTTTTCTAAAGACACTACATGTCAGGGATCCTGGGTCTGAGCGACCCTTACTTATGTTACTTCATATGTATTTTTGGTGTTGCTACCCCTCTTCTCTATGCTTGTACATATGTGTGTGTGGGTGGGTGTGTGTCTGAGCACTCGTTTACAGGCGCCTTCAGGCCTGGTGGGTGTGGCCCTGCTAGGGGACTGGCCACACCCGAAACCACACAACTGCTGCTGATCAGGGCTCGTCGGGGGAGCTACTTAGGAGAGTCTTGGAGCTCCCACCGACGCGGGATCATTGCGTGAGACTTCCCGTCAGTTCTCCAGTTGGTCTGTTTGTGAGTGTGAGCTTACCAAGTGTAATTGAGAGTGCTAACTACTGCATCTATTTTCCCTGGAGGATTGCTGGACAAGAGGGCAGCAGGCACAGTATACACGGGCACGAGGGAGCGGACACACGGAGCACAAACACTGGGAGAAGACACGGAGTGGAAGTCGGGGACACACGGGAATGTATTGTTGTGTATCAGTTTCGTCACTGTAAATAAATGCACTGTTTACACACAGAGCACCGCGACTGGGTCCTCCTTTCCCCACATTCCCACGGTCTGCCAGCCAGACCGTGACACTACAGCTGATTCTGAGGAGGTCAGGTTGGACGTACTCACTGATTTTTCATGAAATGAAAATGCCCAAACCTTTCGATAAAAAAACAAGTACATGTACATTTAAAACATTGTTTTGATCGTTTTGGTACATTTCGTTTCCCCCACCCCTTACCTGGAGGCCACTTAACTTTTCAAGTGGACTCTCCACGCGGGGCAGGCTGAGAAGAGGCAGCCCAACGGGGGGCTCTGAGCGCTGTGGAGGTGGAGGAGTCGGCGCTGCTATCTGGGTTGGCCTGAAATTGTTGATCACACATGACACCTGGTAGAGAGCAGACAAAAAAGGTGTAAAGGGAAAAGGAAGGGATAAATTCGCTCCACTCCACTATAGAGATAGATGATTTTCTGCTGCATGAAATGCTGAAGTGTGCAAGGAAACAGATAGTGAAGTGGGAGAGGGAGAGACTGAGATAAAAGAAAGAGGGATAGGCAATGAATTTTGGGGGGAGGCATGGAAAGAAATTTATATTCTTAGGGACACACAACAGAAATGACTTTGAAGTTAATACTGATCCGAGAGGGTTTTTTTGTTGAAAATAGATTTGGGTCAAGAGGTCCAACACTAAATGACATTATTTGAATTATCAATATAAAAGACTCTGTTTAGTCCACACTTTTTTTTTTCTTTTACAGTCATGTATGGAAGTGCATCCTTTTTTGTAGCCTTAATCATCAGTAAATCCTCCCACCATCATTCCTGTAACCGTATTTTACCACATTTCTCCCTTCAACATGTCCCACACAGAAAATGGAGTGGAACAGATCACAGTTTGAGTTTTTATGATGGTGAAGGCACAGAAAGTACGACATCCACAAAAACAGCATGTAAACTCGAGAATGACAAGAAAATGAAACTAAAATGCAAACAGACAAAGGACAGTGACATACGAAAAGCACGCTGGTGACACCGCCACGACCACGTTATTCATTTATTTTTGCAACGGTTGTTCTCTGTAACTGTAAAATGGAAATACAATAAATGTGAATTCAAATTCTACCTTTAAATCACACCTTTAAATACAAGAATACAAATATTGACAGAACATTCAGTCAGTTTAGTCAGACAAGATTGTGATGTCCATTGACAGCAATTTATATTTGACAGCAAGGCCTGATGGCTACAGAACAGAGCAGGCATCGATGACAGCAGACGTGGCATTGATTAAGTCAGGCACAGAATGAAAATAAGGAGGGTGGAGGATGTAGGCAGGTTGCTAAGCAGCTTGCAGAGATAGAAGCAGCTATAGGCAGCTTATAGCAACTGACAGCATATAAGGTGACTGTGTTCCTATCTGGAGGTGTATAAATAGGCTATGATCTATCGCCTCTTTCACCCTACTTTCTTTTACTACCCCTCTCAGTGTTTCGTCCCTCCCTTTCTCCTTCTTACCAGAAAGGCAGCAATGGCACCACCCGTTACGAATCCAGCCAGAACATCGTTCCAGTGGTTCCTGTGTTCAGTCACCCTCACCACCCCAACCAGCACAGCCAGAGACAGCAGCACCAAGCATAATGTGGGCTTCATCAGGCGGGTCCCTTTTGTCCTGAACACCAGAGTCACATACATCTGGAAAGCAGTAATATACTGAATTAGGTACATTTTTAAAATGCTATGTTATCTTAACAAAGTAAAGAGTTGAAAAATGTGTTGAAAGCTCAAGCAGCAAGCTAAGATAATGCAAAATATTCTAAACACTGACTAGCTTAATTGTTCAAACAGCTTGAGCAAACCACAAGAGGCCGCACTCTGCAGAGATTTTTGAACAGCTGAGTGGTTTATCCGCAGGGAAAGCAGCATAATAAAACCACTGCAGCTGGTTTAAAGGTTCTAAAATGACAGGAGCAAGTTAACGTAATTACAGAGAAAAGAGGCAGAAGGGTGTGCGTTCTTTTTGTCCAACGTAAGGTAGTTAAGTGAACGTTTTTTACTTTATAATCTTTTACATGAACATATGTTAATTCTGAATATTCAAAACTTCGAAAGTCGGGTATAAAACTTGCCAGTTTGCAGAGGGATTGTTTTAAGAAAAGATGATTTTTGGTTTGCTATGCTCTATGTAAAGACTGTGTTCAAGCTGATGTTTATTTCAGTATGTTCGTAAAATGTAGATTTATCTAGGGATAATCGGGAGTTTTACTTCTGTTTTTTATTTGTGCACATACCTTAAAATGTGGTTGAAAGAACTGCCAGGCTTAACCGTATATTTGTCATAACTGATGTAAAGTGGTAGCACTGGCTAGTGTTTGAATCCCGACACATATGATTCTGTACCCCAGGATCTCCAACGTGGAGATGGAAATGGACGGCTGCCCCGTGTTTGAGGAGCAAGTGACTCTGGGATGGGGTATAGAGCCACATGGCCATGACAAAAAGGAAGATGCACACAAATGCCAATTTAAATACAGTTTATTTTAAAGAAGAAAAGAACTTTAACTAACTATAATGGATGTAATCAGTACAATCAGCGGTGTAAGTTAGAGCATGGGTAAAGAAATGGTTCATGCAGTGTTGTTTAGTGTAAAAATCCAAACCACAGAGCCACCCAGCAACTGAGCTCAGAGGCATTTCATAGAACGCTGGTGTGCTCAAAACATCACTTCTAGATGCAATAAATCAGAAAACTGGAGTTCTGCAGTGTGTGAACCTTTCATTCTTTTCAGTGTCACTGATAGGAAACAAGCCACACCAGCCCTCCAGTGCCTGTGGTTAAGACCAGCCACACAAACAGGTTGAAAGGAAGGAAGGGTGGAGGTGGTTGTCACGGGATGAAGATCAGTTCATAGGGGTACATAGGGCCAAGACTGTGGAGGGACTTGTAGAAGATCTCATATTTATATCAGTGCACTCTATTGGGAGCCAGTGTAGGCGGAGAGTAGGGTTGATGTGCTGCCAGGATTTAGTGTGTGTCAGATCCAAGCAGCTGAAAAATACTTAACAGTGGAAAAAAATAACCATGTTTTCAACCTGGTACAAAAAACTGTTTAGACATCTATACATATACAAATATATGGGGGTAGTCTATTGTATTATTAGTTTTTTAAATTACAGACTGTTGAATTACAGGTGGCTGAGGGCTCCAGCTGCGTGCTAGTGTTTACGACAGCTGTCTGAAACCAGCCATGTTTTCATTTCACTTCCTTTTGAAGCATTTTTACTGTAATTATTTGACAGATATGTATGATTAATTGCGCAGCCAGTCCAAGTAACCTATACTCCAAATTTAATGAGTAAAATTATAGTATTTCATTTATATTTCTTCTGGCACAAATTGGGAGGTGTATGTGTCTGTGCAATTCACCTATACAGTCTGTGGATGCACCTTGCTTGCCAAGCTCAGCAGCTGATAACTCAGAGTTCAGCATTAGCTAGACTTGAATAATAGTAAAAATGTGCTAATGTTAAACAATATAAACAATATTTTATGGAATTATGTTAAAATGCTCTTCATAGACTACAGCTCTGCATTTAATACCATAATTCCCTCCACACTCA